TAGTGGAAAAAATACATATCATCTCTACTGTTTATTATTCTTCCATTTATTCCATCTGATTCAGTAGTTCCATCCCATTTGTCTCTTTTGTTCTTTAAAATTTAAAGTAAACCCATTCAATTCGTATTAGACTATTTGAATTGTCGTTTGTAACCAATTCGCCTCCATGATGAGTGTTGTTTGTAAGCAATTCTCTCTGTTTTCACTTCTATAACCTTCACTGTAATATCTTACGTTTTTTATGAAGGTGAAAAAACCGAAAAATTAACTGAGCTACAAATAGAGCTTATGTATCCATTCAAGATTTTAAATTAATAAATTTTAGGAAAATTAGTTATCATAGATTTTTACTAGAATCCATATCCTTCATTTTTCTTTAAAAAATAACCATTATTGTTTGTGTTTTTTTTCTTTTTTTAATATCCTTTGTATCATATGATTAAAGAGAAATTCTCCGGAACGCCGCGCAGTGTTCCATCAAAAGAAACAAACGACACGATGTTCGTTTGTTTGTTTCTCCTCTATACATTATAAAAAAGACTTTCCACAATTTGGAAACTCGGATACACACAAATCGCTCGCTCTACAATTTTCAATTCAAATCGTTCACATTCCTTTTCGTTTCCTCCATGGATGATTGATCTCTCCATCTTCAAGCTCGTCGAAGAACACAAGGTTAGGGTTTCTTATTACCTCTCTCGTTCCACTTTCCGTACTATCTTCGGAAATCTACGCGTGTTGTCTTGCTCTGTTGCTGGATCATCTTGATTCCAGTTCTCGCTAATCGTGTGTCTTTAGGTTGAATCTTCGGTAAAGGACGTCGAATCGTTACAGGTCACTCTAAATCGAGACATGGAAGGTCCTAATTTCATAAAAAGGGAAATTTCTTTTTTCGCGAGGAACACAATTTCTTGAATGGATTTTTTGAGAATTTCCGCGTTTTGCGACAGGGAATAGGCAGAGGATATGCTTGGGAGGACTGAGATGAATCATACTCGTAATCTTTTACAAATTTGTGAATTCCTCACTATCTTGCGAGACCTAGTCGACGAAAACAGAAAGAGGCAGCTTCTTATTCTCTATGATAAATACAAGGTGGGGATTACTATCCTTGAAATGACTTGGCAATCTAATCAAGAAACCCCCTCAATACATTACTTTTCTTTTCGTAATTGTTTGCAGAGGGAAAAAATTCCAAAAGAAGGGTTCTATCAACAAGTGAAGGATGTTGCAGGTCGTCCATTAACGGAACTGGCAATTCGTAAACTGCAACAGTTACGACAGGTATCACCCTTTGTGCTGTGCAGTTATTAATACAAGTATGTCACTCGAATTCGTGTTGGTATTATCTCCACGATCTTGTTTGTCCTCACAAAACTCTTAGCATTTATATGTACTTCATAGTTGTAAGCATTCATAGGTATTAATATGGTAACTGGTGTTGCTTCAGTGAAAAGACCTTTTCAGAAGGTGCTTTTTATAGAAAGAGTTTTCTATACACCTGTAAGAGTTAAAGTTTTTGTTCTTTGGGTCATTCTATATTGTGTTTCAAAGAAAATTCATTTCTCTACTCATGCAGGATTAGTCCTTGACCATTATAGCTGATTCACCTCAATCTTTGTGTTCAATGGATGTTATGATATCTTATTTAACTTACTAAGTTTATATTAGCAGTTTTCATTAGACATGCACATAGGCTGCTGATTTGTCATGGATTTCTTGGTTTTAGCTGGAGTTCGTTCCTCATTTCAGAGACACCTTATTGAAGGGAATGTTAAAATGGTCTTACTTCCAGATTTTTCTCATCATTGTGATTAACATTGAGTGCAGCTAGTGCACTGAACTCTATATATTGGATTTCTGTTGCGTTTGGTAGTTTTCAGTGATATATGTATGTAAACCCTGAACTAGACTTGAGACATAACTGAAAGTGTATATGAAAATGTGATGAAAAAATAACATAAATACTCTAAATTGAATAATGCGGTATTACTGAGTAGTTTACCAGAGGTAGTTTTGAGTGGTATAGTACAAGCTGAATACTTCTCGATTTGGAATTGTGGCTCACTGGTTTCATATGAATATATAACCAGGGAAATATGGGGATCAAAGCACCTGGACCAAGTCATAACAGAGTTTCACTTACATCTGCTGGTATAACATATGCAGCTGATGCCATTTACTTTTGCGATTATCATAGAACTTCTTAAATTTCAGGCAGATCTTATCTTATGATTTCCATGTAGCTTGCATAACCAATCCCTGATACAATCGTTAACTGCAGAAATCGATGATCAAAAATCTGATCCTCGGGGAGTTCATGTTAACCAACTGCCTTCCACAAGTTCAGGCACCTTAAGCATTTCCTCTCCTGTGCAGGGATTCAACAAGAATCCCCAGCAGCACATCCAACTTCCATCAAGTTCAGGCACCTTAAGCAGTTCAGCAACCGGTGTTGGAGGACCAATCAAATCTACGATGAACATGACGACTGTTCCCAAGTTGGAGAAGCCAATTTCTGTAAATGCTACCAGTAGGGTTCAGGGTAGCGCTATATCTCACTTCCAAAACAACTCATCCTTGCCTGTAGATTTTCCTCATTCAATGACAACACATCTGGACTCTAGCACAATGGTAACTTCTAAATTATACTCTAAATAGACAGAATCGAATGCTACTTGGTTGTTCTTCTTTTTAAGCTCATAGGGTGACCCATCCTTCTTCAACAGATGCTGCATTTGGTTTCGTTTTGCTTATATTTTGGACCACCTTGGCTTCTGTTTGCCCTTCTTTTGCTTTGAACTTTGATTGTGAAGAGTAAACGGACTATCTATGTAACTGAAAAGTTGGTTGTGTACTCATCAGGATTATCTCTCTGGCCCATTTGGGACCACTCAGGCAGGAATTAATGTTGTGACAACACCCAACATGCCTTCTGTTGGTCGCAAGAAGCCACTTGAGACACTAGGTTCGTCACTGCCACCATCGAGGTAATAGATGAACTATTTATGGCATCCACATTTACTCATTTTACTTTGTTATAATATGGGGTTAACTTACAGAAAGAAGCAAAAAGTATGTTCGACTTCTTCACGTCAGAAATATGAACAGCTTAATGATGTCACTGCAGACATTGGCATCAATCTCGAGGTACGTTTTCTGGTAACTGTGCTTCTCAATTTACACCTGGATAAAGAGAAACGCATCAACTAAACTATTATCTGCATATTTTATAGGAAGAGGAAGAACAATTATTATCTTCTAGTTCCAAACAGGATGGTCAGGTTTCCAAAGCATTGCAAAGACTTGTGCATGAAGAGGAAGACAGAACATTTTTGCAGAAAATTCCACTGCAGAGAAAGCTGACGGAAATTAGTTGGGTTACAACCCATCTTTTCGCTACTTCTTAAATGTTTAACTTCAAATCACTTGGAGAAGAAGTTTTTATATATGCTTTCATATACGACAGTGGTAAAAAGCGGCTTAGAGCATATGAGCGATGATGTCGAGCGGTGCTTGTCGATGGTGAGACGTCAACTTTTTTTCTTTATGGACATATTAGCCTAGAATATCTTCTTCTTTTTCCTCATGGCTTTGTGCATTCAGTGTGTGGAGGAAAGGATGCATGGACTATTGTCTAATATAATCCGATTGTCAAAGCAGGTCAGTCTACTATCCCTTCCGCCGTGCTTAAACCTTGTGTCTACATGTTTCTAAAGTTAAAAAGAGTTTTGCAGCGGACTGATGCAGAGAAGTGTAGAAATCGAACTTTGATCACGTCTGATATTCGGAAGCAAATCTATGAAATGAATCAGAAGATGAAAGAGGAATGGGAAAGGAATCACCCTGAAGAAAAGGAGCCTAAGGTTTTGTCCTGAGCTCAATATCTATTTTCTTAGGTACCAGTAACAATGTCTTGTTTTCTTTCATCTTCCTTGATGTAGAATGGAGAAAATGATACTGAACAAGAAGACAACCGTTCAAAACAAATGAAGGTATTTAGAGATTGAGGCACTTGCATAAACCCTTTGGATACACATGTACATCGAAAGAGGTTTTATGATATATTTATTATGTCAGGGAAATAAGGAGGAAGAAGAGAAAATGAGAGCTAAGGCAAATGTTGCTGCTCATGCAGCTGTTGGAGGAAATGATGTGTTTTTAAAATGGAAACTTATGGCAGAAGCACGTCAGAAACCGTCTACGGGGCCAGGAAAAAACTCCAAGAAACCTTGTGCTGAAACTGGTGAGCTAGATTCTATCACCGCTTCCATCTGAAATATGTCAATCTGGTTCTTCTTTGCTGTTTTACTTGATTAAGGCTATTTATACTTATGGCTTTTATGAATGTTTTGTGATTCTCTTAAATATATGTGATTTTGAAGCTGTGTTCCAAATCGCTCATTCAAGTTTTTATTTTTTTTTGTAGGTGGTAGTAGATTTGGGAAGAACCAAGGTTCACCAAAAGTGGTCCGGTCAATCTCTGTGAACGATGTGATTGCTGCGGTTGAAAAAGAGCCTCAAATGTCCAAATCGACGCTCTTGTATCGCTTATACAATAGAGTCTACTCGGAGGATGTTCAAAGCGAAGAGAAGAAGACATAGATATAGGGTACACAGAAACTTGTTAGACCAAATCATCATGTTCATTATTTTGCAGAAACTATTTGGTACTCTTTTTTTGTCTTCTCTTATTCCATTGAAAGTAATGCCATTACAAACACCTAAACATAGGTCAAGATGCTAAGTACATCATTATTCTTCTTCTTACTTCCAACAAACCTAAGAAAGCTACTTGCTTTTTCTAGTTTTTGCCTGACTTCTTTATGCTGGCTCCACCGTGTCCATAACCTCCACCACCACCGCAAGAACCGCCACACCCTCCACCACCACCGCCAATGATGACTCCACCACCGATACCACCAGACCCATAACCCGGACCGCCTCCTCCATTGCTTCCATCCCAACCAAAACCACCACCTGGCCCATAC